GTTAATAAAAAATGTTTTATTTTTGAGAGTGTTTTGTATCTATTGTTCCAGATGTTCTAATAATAATAAATCGTTGATATAGTTGATATAATTGATATAGTTCCTTATCACGTTGTCTCAAAATGCTTCACAGAATATACTGTAAAATGAATTGACTGTATATTTTGTAGGCGAAATGCGGCAGCGCACAGCAGTGTCCCATAAACAGTAAACATGAGCATGTAACTAATCTCCAGTGTCTTGCAGATTTTCTTTCCCATTCAAACCATGTCTCTTGTTAATTTCCTATTCTGGCTGTATATGTGAGCTTAGAATCGGATCCCCCAAAACACTGCCTGTAAAAATTCATGTATAAAAGTCATTCTGAAGTGTTGCATGGTCTACACACATGGCTACTGTATTTGTGGATTACAATAATCCTGGATTCATCCATTTCAAATATCTTCCTTTTAAGATGTCCATGAATAGAAATGAATCTTGCATAGATTTAATACGAATAGTTTTTAAAACCTGTCTCTTAAACCTCACAAGAGGGATCCTGTTCATTTGGAATTACTCTCTAATGCACTGTGCTGTGTGGGGTTTTTTTGCAGTTCAATGAATGGAATAACCAGCCCTGCAAAATAGTACAGCAAAGCACACAGCAGATTTAGACACAAAATACATTAGGCCTGGTCATACCCAGAGGAATCCCTACATTACCTTCCACGTGTGAGGCTTGGGATTGTGCGCGTTTATTTCAGTGAGTGGGGAATGCCAGAGACGTGCCTAGCAACCATTTTCCAATAAGCTACCTCCGTGTTGCTTGGCAAGGTCTGAGTAGCAATAACAGTATCTGGACCTGATGCATCACACTGTGCCTGGGGAAGTTCCAAGTCGCACAACACTTAATCTCTCTCTCTAATACTCCCTGTATGTGTTGTGGCTTCTTGCTCAAGCTTTCAATGTTGAAGACATTGGTGGTTATTTTACACTGATCACTAAGAATAGCAATCTTTTTGCTACTGAGTCGTGATAATAGGAATTCCTATTATAAAAACGTAGTGACAAGATTGCTATTTTTAGCAACCAGCAGGGATAGAAACCATTATATAACCGTGGTGCACACAGCATAGTAATCTTATAATCAGAAGTCACGTTTTGCAACAATAGTCACTAGTTAACTTTGCACGTATCATAGAAGCATAGAAATTACAGAGCAGAAATAGAGACTATTTGGCCCATTGAGCTTACGCATAGCTTATACATATGCACCACCTTTCATGTTGAGAGGACATCTCAAAGCACTTCACACAGATGACTAGGATTCCAGGGAGAAGGGGAAAAGAGCTCAAGGCCACAGCTTGCACATTGGCAGGACTTGGAAGGGCAGACCAGTCATTGTGGGCAGGGAATCCTCTCATGCAGCTCCTGTTAACCCTACCAGCCCTAACAGTTAGGATGGTCCCAGATTGACAAGCAGCAGGAAACCTTGCCCAACAGAAGAGCTCAAAGGGGTGGACGGGGAAGGAAAGCTGACTGAAAATGTGGGCAAAATGACAGTTCTTAATCCGAGTTTTAAAGATTGGTGGGGGGTGGGAGGAGGGGGCGATGAGGCAGAGGGATTCAGTTCCAGTGAGGAGCAGCAGAATGGCTGAAATCTCAGCCTCCGGTGGTGGGAACACGAAGCAGGCTACGACAATTGTATTTTTCTTGATTTTATGCTTCACATAATAAACATAACAAGCAACCATTGCTCATATTCATATTGAGGGAATAATATTTGGTGCGTGAAATGATATTTAATCACAAGGATAGAAAAGGTGATCAAAATGCCGACCTCTTTGCTTTTAGTTAGCGTGCATTTTGAAAGTGTTTATTAACTTTTAATTTTATCCTTCAATCTTAATTTCTAGACAATTATTTGGTGAATCAGAGTTAAATCGCTGACCCAACCCCCAGTCAGAAATAATTTCTGCCCCTGATTTCGTCCTTTTGCTAAAACTCAATGGGGATCTTAGGGGATCTCATTTTTGCCTTTAGAAAATAGTCACTACACTAAACCGTAAGTACTATAAAGCTCTTTGAGCATTTCGACCTGATAGGGCATTATAAACATGCAAGTTCTTTATTTCTATTGTATTTAAGTTAGTAATAATAGCAACTGCAAGATGATTATTTTGCGGTTGACGGCAATGCTGGTTATCATCAGATTAAGATAAATTAGGGAGCTAGAGGCAGCTCGATGGAATTATCCATTTGCTCCAAATCTTCAGTATTTTCCCCCAATGTTAATTGTGCAAAGCCCAGTCAGAACCTGGATGATTTGCATTAAATTCTCCACAACCACAAGAAGGACAGAGGTTGACCTTAACATCACAAAATATTTTATTTTTTTCCAGGACTTCACTCTGACAAAGCTGGACTCTTAAAAGATACATTACTGAAAATACAAATAATTAGATACAGCTACGGGAGAAGCATAGAACAGAAAAGAATAAACCAGTGTAGACAAGAAGGGAGGTAATGGAGGGGTAAAGTAAAATAATATACAGTATATGTATGTATATGTATATATATATATATAACCTCAAATCTAGAACAGAAAACAAAGAGGATTATAAGCGTAAAGTAAATGGGGGCAAGAGATAGATTAAGATTAAGGGAATACGAGAAGGGAAGAGCAGGGAATATAGAAGGCTTTTATAAAATATCTATGGTAAACAGATATTAAGGAAACATGGGGACCCCAATGGTTCTCCAAAGGTGTTGTTACATGGCTAATATCAGATTCCAGATATGATTGAAGTGAATTCTTTGTATCTGTGTTCATGGAGGAAAATTGCCTTCCCACGGTAAAAGTGGAATTTCCAGGACATGAGAAAGACATTCTTAAAATGATACATATTTTGGACAAAATAGGTGACTGACATAATAATAATAGAATAATCCTTGGGTTTGATATATCATGTCATTGAGACGTCTCAAAGTGCTTTCCAGAATATACTGTGAAGTGTAGTGACTGTGTATTTTGTGGGTGAAACATGGCAGCCAGTTGCATACAGCAATGTCCCAAACACAGTCGTGAAGTGAATGACTAATTATTTTGGGGGGAGTTGTTGGCCAGGACACCAGGAAAAACTCTCTTCCCTTTTCGAATAGCGCCATCGGATCTATAATATCCACCTGAACAGCAGGTGGGACCTCAGTTTAATGTCTCATCCGAAATACAGCACCTCTGACAATCAACACATCCCCAGCACTGCATTGGAGTGTCAGCTTAGGCTTTGTGATTTCAAGTCCCGACACAGGGCTTAAATTTACAACCTTCTGACTCAGAGGCGAGAGTGCTACGTCTGCGCCAGGCTGACATGTTAAAGATATGGAAGGTCAGGGCACCAGGTGTGTAAAATTCTGCACTGTATTAGCCTATAAGACCATTTTGTCTAACAAGGTAATATTGAACAGAATCCTTTAACAACTGTGGAAAACTTTTGTAAATTAAGTCTGAATTTAAGAATTTTCAACAATTTTGCACCATCTAAAACCAAGACTGAGAGGTCATTGGTGGAACTGTACTTAACAGGGAACAGACTGAACAAACACAAATCTGGGTAAATAAGAGTGTTGGGCTGTTAAGTGATGAATGCAATTGAATGTAAGTAATAATAATAATAATAATCCTTGTATTTGATAAAGCACCTTATCACATCGTCCAGATGTCATAAAGAGCTTCACAGGATTTTACTGTGAAGTGAGTGACTGTGTATTTGTAGGCTATTTGTAGATAAATGAGACGGGAAAAGAATAAACAGTGAGAATATTGGGAATTGGATTATTAATTAAAAATTTGCAGGGCTATGGGATGAAAGCAGGAGATTGGGATAAGTTGATAGCTTTGGCACAGACACAATGGGCCGAATGGCCTCCTTCTGAGCTGTAAGATTCTATGAATATAAGCTGGATAGCATTATTCCACAGGATATGAGATATAAGAGAGATTTGGCAGTCCTGTGGCTCAGTGGTTAGAGCACTCGCTTTGCAAGTGAGAGACCTGAGTTCAATTCCAGGCAGGACGAAACCTTGGGCAAGTTTCCTTACTCCACACGCCTAACAATAATCCCTCCAAAACAAAACAATAATAAATTGGTCATTTTCAATCCATATGACTGTTTGTGGGACATTGCTGTGTGCAATTAGCTGCCGCGTTCGCCCACAAATGTACAGTCAATTCACTTTACAGTGTGTTCTGTGAAGCGCTTTGGGACATCCTCCCGACGTGAAAAGCGCTATATCAAATGCAAGGATTATTATTATTATTATTATTATTACTAATGGATAGATGACTTGAACCATCAGTGCAGCGGTACAGCAGCAACAAAAAAAGCAAACAGGATCTTGGGGTTTACATCTAAAGAGATAATGTATAATCTCAGGAAGTTTATACAGAACTTGTTAACTGGTCTGACTTCAACATAGAGGGTATTGTACAATTCTGTTTGCCATATTACAGTAAGAATATCTAATCATTGAAGGAGATGAAGTGAAAGGCAACTTGATGCTTAACTAAAGATGAGACAGGCTCAGGAGAGATCTTACTGAAGGAATTAAGATGCTGATAGACTAAGCCCTTAAAATATATTTGATATGGCCAACAAATCTAGAACTAGGGGACATGAGCTCAAGCTGGAAAGAATTGAGGCAGTTCAGAATTGAATTATTTTACACAGAGAATGGTGAATATAATAACAATACTTTGCATTTGATGTAACGCTTCACAATATATATTGTAAAGTAAATTGACTGTATATTTTGTGGGTGTGAGTGAGTTAAATATTCACTGAAACTGATGCAGTTGAATGTCAATGTGACTTACGAGAAACGTTGGAAACATCCTGAGGATAGAGCAAATTAACATAACCGTCTTACTTCAAATCACTGTTCAACTTTGCTGGACTAAATATAAAAATCTAGTGTATTTAGGCACTGCAGTAAATATATCGCGCAGATTTTCCCCTTACCTTAATACACGGTCTGACCCCTGGTTGGATTTTGCTGCTTCATTGCTGTGATGCTTTTCTTGAGCCTTAGCCAGCTTCTCTGCGGCAGCGATGGGACATCCAGAGAGACTGCAGGAACAGATAAGCAATTAAATACTCATGCAGCAGTCAGAATGGTACCACGAGACCAAGCAATATGGAATCAGAGGCACACGGCTCATTGCTCTTAAGCTGTAACAAACATCAGGAAAGAAGCACGTAAAGCACTGACACTATGTTGTTTTGTGGGCAAAATAACAATAAGCCTTTGGTCCACACAAATAAAATCAATGCACTCATTTACACATTTACTTTTGTGCCTGATTTTTATTACTTTTATCGAAAAACTTTGTTCAATTGGAGGGAGGAGAGGATTAACAGATTTTTCTTTAAAGATAATTTGCAATATAGTTTCCTTATGTACTTTACAGAGTTTTGGTAAAAATCCTGACCCTTAAATTTCTGTGACGAAACAGCCTAAATAGCATTGCTTTAAATGTTACTATTTTATTCAACATCGAGAAATTGCAAAATAAAGGTTCATGAAAAGTCTCAGGCAACCTCTGGGAACCGATCAACAGGAAAAAACGTGAGGAGAAAAAGAAAAGGAGAGCAGTAAGATCCAAGAAGATAAGAGTTGTTTTACAGTGCAAGCAGAGGAATTTTTACTATAATGCGCAAACTAAAGCATGGGATGAACAGAAATTTTCTATACAGAGAATCTTTGCAAGAAAACTGATACTCTTTAAAGCAGGATTAAGATGAAGACAGAGATAAATGGGAATTGGAACATTTTCCACTTTGTATTTTAGGACAGTACTAAAGCACTTTGGTAGAGTTTGTAGCACAAAACAGCAGATATGTTGAGATCAAAAGAAAAATTGTTGGTGAAAGGTCACACCCCAATCTTTAGATTTTTATTCATCCGATTCTGCTTAACCGGCTGAGTTCCTGCTTTTCTTACAACAGGAAATGTTTGCGTGTTTTCTTTAAAGATTGTACATCATCCTGGAATTTAGGACAACTCCCATTCTCTCTGTTTCCCTTCCCTCTCATGCACATAAGCTCTGCACCAGGATCATTACATCTATTCACCACACTGTCAGCCATGTGTCTCTGAGCACTGAGGCTACTGGATTAAATATTGATTGCAAAGGAGGGGAGAAGGAAGAGGAGTTGGATGTTTGGGAGTTGAATCCAGAATAATATATACTTCAATTGACAGAATACTCAACTGAAATTCCCTCACTTGTCTTATCACCTTTACAACTATAAGCAAACTGACTTCAGTAAAGTGCCTTTGTTATTTGTGTTATTGTTGATTGAGCCATGAATGGCATATCGCTAGTCTTTCAAACCATGAATGTAGCCTTTCTACTTTTATGTCCTTACTATAGTAGAGTAAATCCTTGCTTACCTTCTGTGAGAATTCCTGTTGCTATTTACATGGCCTCTCCCAGTGCAGCCTGGTGTAGGACACTTAAGCACATTTTCATGCATGGCAAGAACTTGACAGAAAAAAGAGTGGAAGCTATTAGTAAAGAATGACCACAGGTAAAACAGGTAAGGAAAGGAATGAGTTCAGTAAGAGATGTAGTAATTGTATTACATTTGTTCTAAATTAGGTGCCGCCCATTTTGTAGTTTTGCAAGAAATACTTTATTTACCATTGAATAACATCAGCCTGAAATAGTAATGAAGTCAGAAGGTTATTATCATTCATGCTTGGAATTTATTATCCTTAATAATTTAAGTAAAATGTATTGTGTTAATTTTGCAATGCAACTATATTAGGATTGCAATATAACTATATTAGAAAACATGCAATACCTTTTAAAAAAAAATGTTCCATGAAAATTATTGGGCTTTCCAATTGGCTGCTTGAGAGCTTTCAAGGGATCATAAGGAGCAGAGCTATTTTACACTTGCGGTGTTTATACATCAACAATGCAAATTTCAACCTGAAACTTATTGTATGTTATAAGTATCAACCTTCTCTAGACTTGGTTTTATAACCATTGACAAACTTAATCAGTACCAACACATTGGTCGTCTTCAATGTCAAAGGAGTTGGATTACCCACATCAGAAGTAACCTTATTAGATATCTGCTCACTGTCAGTTGATAATGAGTCAGTCTATATCCTAGTTTGAAGCATATTGTTTCAGAAATGACCTCAATGTCCAAGTGGAAGATATCCACTGGACTACTAGGATTGAAAATTGACCAGTTAAACCTGAAGAATTATTTCCAGGTATTATGATGCTTCTGGCTTGTTTCCTTCCCACTTCCCACAAGGAGATGACCTTCTGGGTTCAAGAAGGCTCAGACAGGCCCTGCATATGTTATGTTTCAATGATAGACAGAATAGGCATTGGAAACTTCCATTGAAGGAGGTGAAAGCGTATTTGCTCACAGTACATTATTTGAATCAGGAAGGCAAATACATTTTTCAAAAAAAATCGAACTATCTTGACAACAGGGATTACAATTGAATAAACCCAGGAGGAGCACATATTTTTTATATAGTGTTGAGGACTGAAGTGCAACATAACATGCAAGATTTATTTGAAATGGTCTTCAAAGTGAGGATACTCCTTCAAACATTTTGGTGTCTTGCAATCAGTGGGTTTTAATCTAACTAGGCTGCAGGATTAGTGTGAAAACAACGGTCTCTGCCACACTATATCACGTAAAATCAGCAAGGTGCTTATTTGGCTGTTTGGCTTTATTTGGTCAATAGTCAATTTAATTTATAGGATCTGGCAGGTCACTTTGAGTCTCCAGTCCGAGAATAAAGTTTAACAGGAATACCTTTCATTTATTATGATAGCGTTCAAAACAAAGTATATCTCTAAATATGATATTTTTTGGGGGTCAGCCGGGTGTCTGACACATGCGGAAACCCATCACTGTGCTTAAGAGTATCCAAACCAAGCTGAGAATTCCATGCATCCCACCTACACATGGAAATCTCAGAGATAAAATTGTTGGAATCGAATGAGCACTAACTGAACAGAAATCAAAGTTGATCAGCAATTAAAAACCTAAATGATACTCTCCAATTAACTGAGCGCTGTGCACGGCACAAAAATTAACTGAATTTTTGGATCAATCAGGTGGGTAGAGATTTATTTCAGTTTCACTGCACCGAAAAAATCATCAGAATTTTTTATATCAATTTTTAAATGACAAAATCTATATACTTCATACAAAATATTTTTTAAGTTGTTGTGTTAGGGCACAATTTCTTGTATGTTATCTGCCGCATTATGTTCTGTATATGGTGAGGAATATTGTGGGATAGAAAAATGCTTCATAAATGTTTTATTTTCAAAACTGATGACAGATTGAAATATGGAGCTAGATTGCAACCAGTAAGAATCCCTTTTAAAAGTCAGTTTTAAAAAAGTGACAAACTTACATAATCCTTTTCATGCTCATTTCTTTTGAAATTTAAAAAATGCTTTTTGGTTGAACAAAATGCGAGCACTAGTGGCTGGTGAGATAAACTGGTTCAAAGGAACCACGGAGCTCGATAGAGCAAGGGAGCTGCATTAGCATACATCCAACTAAAATGGCATGATTACTGAAGCACCCAGGGTTAATGACTGTAATCTAGTGATATTAATGAAGTTCCTTCATACTGCCAGTGCTCTGTAACTCATCCAAGCAAGTTCCCTATGATGCCATCAGCACTTACATGTTTTTTAATTTAAAATAAATTGATCCTCCCTCGATGGCTCAGCTGATAAAGCCGCTACATAATGTGCAACTGAGAGTCACAGGTTTGATCCTGGTCTATGCTGAGTCAGCTGGGACAGCTATGGGATTCCTGCAATTGATCTTAGTGATTCAAGGTTAGGAAAGGGGAGGCAAATCAGCCAGGATTCCTTCCCATAATCGCTATCCAGCGACGTTGACTGAATACAGGATTAGGCTCAGCTGTGGTGCCACTCACGGATGAATAGCTTGCCAACACTCACTGTCCAAGCTCACACATGAAGAATGTGCACTTGGACAGGTACCAAAAGCAAGCTCTCGACAATAAATCTGTATCCAAGCTCAAGCCAGCATCTTTTGCTAGAGAGAAGAGATTTTAAATAAAACATTTTTTTTGTCATTGATTTTTAAAGGGGATTTTGGTGGCATGTTTTCCTCTTCCGGAATAAGCATAGTTCCAAAGGCTGAAAATATCAAAATGCCACACAATGCAATTTATTCTTTCCATGAACAATAACATCAACAGCAAATTGCATTTTTATATAGAATCTTTTGGACGATGTCCCAAGGTGCTGGAGAGTCAAGGATTTACACCCAAGCTGGGGTTTAGAAATTGGTTGGGGTAGAGACCAAGGAGATGGGGTTGGGAAGATGACCAATTTTGTGGTCAAAGAGGAAGGTCTTGAGATGGACCTTGAAGAAGGCGTGGGAAGGAGTGAGGTGAAGGGACTGCGAGATGGAGTTCCAGATAGTGGGCGCAGAGAGGGTGAAATCTCAACCTCTGATGGCAAGGTGGTGCCGAGTGGAGGGAGCGGGCGGGTTGGTAGGGTTTTAGAAGGTCACACAGATAAGGTGGGGCAAGACCATGTAGGGATTTAAACGTGTGAAGATCTTGAACTCAATCCTCTGGGGGATGGGGAGCCAGGGGTGCCGGGCAAGAATGGAGGTGACAGGCATCATAATTTTCATGCAGCGAGTTGTTCGTCTGGAATACATTGCCTGAAAAGGTGATCGAGGCCGATTCGCTAACTATGTTTAAAAACGCGGTGGACGGTATTTGAGGAGGACGGGTTTGCAGGGCTATGGGGAAAGGCTGGGGAGTGGGATTGACTGCTCTATTCAAAGAGCTGGCACAAACTTGATGGGCCGAATGGCCTCTTTTTGTGCTGTACAATTCTATGATCCTATGATTCTATGCTCTAGTGCAGGAGAGGGCACGAGCTGCAGAGTGCTGAATGGTCTACAGCCTGTGGAGGGAAAAGTTGGGAAGTCTAGCAAGTAGTTGTGCATTGATCATCAATATTTTAACTATATTAGAATCCTGACTAGCCAGATTAAGTGAAATGCTGAGTCAGCTGGGACATTTACCGTTTTTTTTTCGCTGCTGGCTTTTTTCAGTGCTCAAAAATGATGGTAAATGCTGGTACCAGTATTGTAATTGGTTGAATCCCGCAAGCAGAAGATAGCAAATAAATTATCTTCTGTTCGCGAGATTCAAGCTCAATAAAAGTCAAGATCACTGGCTACTGAAGGCTAGCAAGGATGGTGAGGTGGGGTAGTGTTCTAGGAAAGCAGGAATCTACATGAGGAAATTTTCAGAATTTTTTCCATTTCGGCCCCTCGTTCAGCTAGGTCCAAATTACGGATACCTAGAGTCTGGTAAGCCAGGGGTTTACTGTATATCTTTTTTGTTTTTAAACTCATTCACTCAGTTTTACTGTTACTAAATCTTGCATCTCTGTATGGAATCTAAAATGCAAGTGGGGTTTATTGCCCACGGGCTATTTATGTTCAAGTACAATGCAAGAATCCTTAACTATAAATAATTACCAATAGAAATGATTACAAGAGGTTGTGTAATGCTTTTGCTACATTATTTATTCGATCTCAGTTCAATTCACATCTCAGAACCCAAGGATTGACTTATGGTTTTATTTTCAGCCCTGTTGCCTTTTTGGTTTTGTACTTTTGCAGAGGTAACATTGTTTATTTCTGTCTCGCACCAGCCACCAAATGCACTTAACAAGGTGGCCACCTTTCTCTTGATGTCCCTCTGAAGGTGAACACTGCCTCTTGTACTTGTACCAGAATTGCCCAAAGATGCCTCTTCCTGTGAGGAAGATCTAGCTTCCACTATGAATCTCCACACTGTATAAAGTGGGCTCCAACATTCCATGGCTAGTGCATTGGTGTATTAATACTGGGGCTTAACTCAGTTGGTTGAACACTTATCTTAGGACCAGAAATTTTAGTAAGTCCATTCAGCTTCCTCAAGATCACTAAAATAAGTATCGCATCTAATATATCTTTGCAGTGTAAAGATAGCCAGGTATCCTTGGAATAAAACAGGGCACTGTTGAGCAGGTTTTCAGGTTAATTATCGAGAAGGGAGAAGTGATATATATGATTCTGATCAGAGAAAAACAGCAGTCTTTTGCACTATCGTTATAATAGACAATCTATCACAAAGACATAACAAAAACATCACTGTTTTTCAGCAATAACTGTAAGATAAGCACTTTGGAATGTAGACATGTCATTAATGCAGCCAAAGCCCGAATAATAATCCTTGCATTTGATACTAAGCTTTTCATGTCAACATGAGACCTCAAAGCGCTTTAAATCACAGGATTTACTGTAAAGTGTAGTAACTGTATTTTGTAGGCAAACGCGATAGCCAATATGTGCACAGTGGTGTCCCACAAACAGCCACAAAGTGAATGATTGATTTTATATGGGGTATGGATGGCCAGAACACTGGGATAAAGTTTCTTTTCTGCTCAAGTATTGCCATGAGATCTTCAATATCCACTTAAATAGGCAGGAGGACGTCGCTTTTAACATAGGAAGAAACATAGAAACAGGAGTAGGTCATTCAGCCCCTCAAGTCTGTTCCGCCATTCTGTAAGATCATGACTGATCTGTACCTCATGTCCAATTACCCGTCCTTGCCCTGTGTCCCTTAAATCCCTGATCTCACAAATATCTATCCACCTCAGTCTTAAAGATGTGAATGGATCCAGCATCCACAGCCTTTCAGTGGAAAGAGTTCCAGATTTCAATATCTCATCAAAAAGACAATGCAGCATACCTCCAGGACTTTATTGCAATGTCAACCTGGACTGTAAATTCAAAGACCCAATGTGGAGCTTAAACCCACAACTTTCTAATTCAGAGGTGAGAGTGCTGCCAACTGAGCCAGACGAAAACCTAACAGGTAGAAAAACCCAAATGGACAATTACCATGACACTTAACAGTCATCTGTAGTGGCACACTGCACGGTTACCACAGTTCTGTGTCAACTCATTATTTTTATATTAACCTGTCTCTTGATTCGGATTTTAGCTTTATACCTCTCTTACTACTTCTCCTTGTTCCTTTCATTTCTACTCTTTCCTCTGTTTTTCTTCCCCTCAATTCTTCCCCATTTGTTTTTGAAATGACTGACAATTTTACTGGGTTTGTGTTCTCTGTGCCTAAATAAGGTGAACGAAGACACAAACGTCCCATAAATAATCTCGCAACATCACTGATGGCAGAGCTGATTATAAATTGGCAACCAGTGCTGATACATTCTGTTACTCTAGACTCTCAGAGCAGGAGGTGGACCTTGTGGTGTAGGAGACCACTGCCAGATGGGCAAACAATGTTGTCACTGGAATTAATCCACCAGATCCAAGGAGCAGGAGGGAAACTTGGGAGGAGGTTGCTTGCCAGTTGAATGCAATCTGCCACAATGAAAGAGCTTGGCATCAAGTCCACAACATTTTAATGAGGTTAAGGAAACCAGGAAAGAAAAAAAAATCAGGTTGCGCCAAATAAGCAAGGAGAATAAGTGGGGGAGGGTACAAGGAAGATCAAGTGCTGTTGAGTCTGCACGGAGCCCAGAAACCCATTTTTACAGTTTTAAAAACTTGTATGAGGGCTGAAAAAGTTGAGGCACAAGCCTCTATAACAGGCTTGGCAAATCCTCCTCAGTGTATGTGGCTCTTTGTAGAAATGATATTAAACGTACATTGATTCTGTGTTAATATAATAATAATCCTTGCATTTGATATAGCGCCTTATCACGTCGTTGGGACGTCTCAAAGCGCTTCACAGATTATTGTAAAGTGGATTGACTGTCTATTTTGTGGTAATATGAGATTAACATGGGACAAAAGCACAGACAATTCATGTTTTGCCTCATTAGCTTCCTGTTAGCTTGATAGCTGATATGATTATAAAGGTGTTGTGATGAACTCTTAATTCACTACTTTTCTTTGCTCTTCAGACTGTCTAGAGTTGAGCAGGTAACAGCATGAGAAATGCAACACATGCACAAGTCCCATTCTGACAAGTACCATTGCAGAGGTTATGAAACGTGAGGCAATGAAAGTACAAACACTGACACTTGTGGAGGAAAACAGACTGGAGGAATCAACTTTAGGCCAAAGGCTGCACGCCCGAAGAACAGGTAGAGATGGCAATTAGTAGATATGGCCTCAAAAAATGCCTGTGTTTTATGTTGTAAAGTATAACACAGTCCAGGGGTCTATCAGATTCTACTTGCAAAAACTAGCCAACATTTTATCATATTTAGAATAGGATTTTTCCATTAGATATACATATGGAAAGTATCACTGGTGTGATAGACCCCTTTGTATATTGAGATTTGATGAGTGGGAATAAAACCAGCCAGAAAATATTAGGAAACGACAGTCCATTAACAGCACCTTGCAAAAGTTACGACAAGTTGGTAGTGTAAATCAGTTGTTTCACTTACTTTCTGGGGGAACCCTGTCTTTGTGTGGGCAGCCTGACAAGCTGCGATGGTGGGGATAAAGGCCAGTGACGTGACCAGTTCCATCACACCCAGGTGTCGGACACTTGCTTTCTTTCTTTTCAGGCCTTGACGAGTCTGTAAAATTCAGTGAATTTTCTTTTGTCAGGTTACGGTTAAGTAAACTAACACAACAAAATATTACTACAGTACAGACAACAGGATCTAATATGTGACAGTTTTTAACCAATATTCCCTAGTAAGGAATCCAGGTGGAGAGAACTTCAGGTAACTAGAAGTACATCAGCCATTATCACGCCGACTCTCAGGAACTCTACTCCAAGATTAGATGATGGAGGAACAGAATTCGTTGGCTTGACGTATTTCCAATTCCCTTGTTAAAGAATGGTGTTAAGAAATTGTAGCATATTAGACTCTATACCTATTAAAGTCATATCTCATTTGGTTGTAACAGTGGACTAGAAAATCAGACTGAACTGTTTTGGATGAAGAAAATAATACATGACATGAGAAAATGAACCAAATCTGAGTGTCACTAATTACACTTAAAATTGCTTGAATGAACAGACTTTTAATTAAATGAAACTTGAGTGTATAGTATGTATTGCTGTACACAGAAAGTTTCACCCAAAGTAACACCTCCTAGTACTGCTTGGTATTGAAAGTATTTTCATGTAATTAAATGTGTAGTATTACACGTCGTCAATGCAAGCTGGAGGCAAGCAAGTTGCCAGCATAAACATTAGAAAAAAAGAGCTAATTCTGTTGCTAACCTTTAAACACGTTTACTGACAGCAAACAGACAATAATACCGTATGAGCATTGTTCCCAAGTAGTAAGAGTGGTCAATGTCCCTTGAGACTAGGTTTAAATGTGTAATACGGCCTGCGAGTGAAGTGGGGATAAATTCTGAACAAATCTGTGGAAACACTACTTCAGTGAGCAAGTAGTAAACGTATGGAACAGGCTTCTTAAGGAGATGGTGGAAGCAGAAAGTGTTGATTCATTCAAGAATAAATTAGATAGATTTCTGTTAGGAAATAATATCTCAGAATACAGCATATAGTTTGGGACATGGCTCGTGACTGCCAGGATGGTGGAAGGCGAACTGGATGGACCTTGGTCTTCTTTCGCCTAGCAAATTCTTATGTTCTTATTAATAGAGGAAAAACTAGGAGTCTGCTGTAATGTAATAACAAAGAGGTTCAGATGCCATTCACTCTCAGTCTATGAACACCATCTGAGCCCCAAGAGTGAGTTGTGTCCTTTGAACATATTTTCCAATTTTTTCTCTTTTTAAATAATTGACGCAGGTTTTCCCATTTATTTCACGAGCAAGTTCTTCTGCTTAAGTTTTGCCAAGAGAGTTTATTGTTTTCCATGAGTATGGCTATTTTTTTTCCTTACCATCATTAACTGCTACCATTACAACCAACACATTTTTGCCAGGCAGCTTCATGTTCTTCGACAGAAAGGGTTGAGTTTAGCAGGTTTATGAAGCTAGATCAAGGTTATAATACCGCAAGAGTTTTACTGAAAAAGAATACATACTCTTACTGGTTCAGAATACTCACAGACAAGTTGCATATCTTTAAATGGTGAAGTTTGTGAGTTGGTACAATGTTACTTTTTGAAACTTTTTTCGGGCAGATTATTCATAACAAAGGTCAGTTACGTTTTTATGGTAAAGGAAGTGCTAAACAGGTCAAAAAAAGCTGCTTATGGTTCAGTTATCTAATGATAGGGAGATAATGCGACACCTGATGTAATTATCACATCACGTCACATTTTTTCGCCCCTTAGATGCAAATAAATATTTATAAGTACAATATAATTCACATTTGATTCTTGTTTGTTTCATTGCCAGAATATATTTTATCTGTTTAATTTATTTTCCACTATCATCTGTCTTGTTTTGAAGGAGCTGGTCATGTTGTTTCGAATCTATGAGGTCCATCAACATTGCCTATTAATCCTTCCTGCACCACGACTGAATTATCTTGCCTGGGTGTGATTTTTCTGCCAGTGCTACAGATCAGTTAACTGATGGTTCAAAACACATCAAAGATCAATCTGGCCACAAAGTTGACCTAACCAGATACATTTTTGCAGTTCTGTTACCCAATGGTAGTAAAACTGGCCTTGAGTGACATTTTTTATATAATCAGAGGATATTAGTTTGCAAATTATTGCCAGCTCAAAAACCTGGGGAAAATAAGACAAGGGAAGGGCTTTGAAGCTATATTTTTAACTGCAGAAAAGGCGAGGTGTGTTTTTCACTATAAAAATAAAATTAAAATAATGAAAACAATAGACAGAAAGGGAAAGCAAAATGGAGTGGTGGAAAAATGAAAGACATGGTGAGCACAAGTAACGTGTTTATTTTTATTTAAGTATTTAATTTGCTTTTGCAGGATTAATATTAAAGTAATGACTGTTTACTCTGTTTTTGTTTCAATCTCGCTCTTATCCCACTAATCAGCCAATGCCTTGTGTGGGCCAGCTTGTGGCACAACAATTAAAAGTGTTGTTGGGTTAGTGTCTACCGCCAGCACAGCAGGACTTGTCCATGTGTCAATTATCACAAGGTTGCTTTTTCAAATCCTGTTAATTATACCAGTGGTGCGAATTTACATCTTGTACAGTTCCATTTTTTTTACCTTAAAGTTTCAAAATTAGAATATGTAACATTTGATATAGCACCTGATCATATCAAAGTGTCTAAAAGTGCTTTACAGATCTTTCTATTAAGTGTAGTGACTGTGCAATTGTAGGCAAACTTGACAGATGATTTCCACACATCGATGCCCCACAGCCACAAAGTGAATGACCAATTTTTTCTCTGGAGGATTGTTGGCTGGTTCATCAGAATCGTATCAAGGGATATTTAATGTCCACATTTCCAGACTGATGGAGCCTTGGTTTAATATCTCAACCAAAGGAGGATAATTAACAACTGGAACAGGTTGCCAGGAAGGGATAGGGGTGAGGCCGGGACACAGTTTGATTCTGTGATGGGAGGTGGGTATTTGGAAGGATGAGATCAGATGGGCCAAAGGGCCTTCTTCATCTGAGCCAATCCTGTGTTAGCATCTCCAACAATACAGTGCTCCCCCAGAGTGTCAGCATAGACTTTTAGCTGAAAGTCCATATGTGAGGGTTGAGCTCACAAATGTCTGACTCTGAGGCAAGGCGGACTGAGCCAGGCTGACACAGAATACAGAGATATTTAAATTTTAGAAATGAACAATCCTTTGGGATGCTGTTTTGGTTGAATCTGTATAATAGGAGCTATCAAGTCCATGTTCCTAATGACATTTTGGCAAAATTATCCTTTATCATAGATGACATCTTGTGTGACTCTGTCAGATATGTTCTTCCAACAAACAAATGGTGAGCAAGTAAATACCAAAGGGAAAAAATATATAATAGCAAATTAAGTGCAAAACAAAACAATATTAATGCAACAATTAACACAATAAAATGATAGTACAAAAATTGTGATATTTTTTGGCAGCAATTTCTGTATTGTTTAGTAACTATTATAACCAAATGTTTCTTTCCCACCCTCTTTTGCATGTGTCTTCACTGTGAATCTGCAAAGGATGAAGTGGAATGGGAATTAAAAAGAGATAGTTATTGATTTAGCCCCAGTCCGTTTATACCTTGCTTGGTAGATGGTTTCCATTCCCTCACCTTGTTAACATAATTAATGTGCAGTCAAGGTTCCTTTCTTTTGTTATCGGTCATTCTCATACTGTTCAATTGCTATCTGGCAACTTAAACATTTAAACACAAGGGAGTTTCATCAATAACTGCCATCCATTGATTATTTTATACACTTTTTTTTTAAAGTACCTTTAGGATAGTATGGCTTTTTAACATGACCATCAGAAGATCTAGATTTCTTCTCATCTCCAACATGATGCCTTGGAATCTGATCTGAATTGTCTCTCTTTGCAGCTTCCATTGCCATTTTGTCTCTCATTGCCTTTGCCCTTTCAGTTTCCAGTGCAATTGCCTTTTCTAATAGCGTCAAGTTTCCTTTTGTCATATCAAACACTTCCTCAGAACGGTCAGACTTGACCGAGGCCGTGTCGTCATCTCTGTCACGAGAGTCTTCTTCCTTAACGCCAGAAGCAAAGGCTCGGGACCGAGGACTAAGTTGTTCCTCAAGCTTCATCAAGTTCACCATATCTGAATAGTTCCGATCTGACATTTTTCTTGTAATGTCATCATCAGGTCTGTTCTGTTGACAATCGCTAAAATGATGTTGCTGATTTCTTTCTTCATGCTGACTTTCACTTAGCTTCCTGGCCAAGTCAAAACATTGGTTCCTTAAGCACTCCAAACTGCTCAGGCAAACAGCCTCGTCACTCTCATCAGCATGTTTTTCTACACCATCAATGGTGGATTTGCATGATCCTAAGGTCGCATTTCTACCTTCATTCTGTATTAACCCATCTACATAGCCCCTAACATTTGTGTTATCTGAAAGTACCACCCCATGTCCTTGTGCGAGTAATTTAAGGGAGTCCACTGTTTCCCTAACAACATCACTGTCCACATCCAAACTCAACTGGCTGGAATCACCTTTATTTGCTTTTCTACCCCTGCTCCCATTATTGTCACTTTCGTCCTCCAGGTCACGTGCTGTACTGTCACTCATTTCAGACTCAGTCATAGCCCTGAAGGCAGCATCTTCAGCTATCTTGCCCAGGTTTAACAATGACTTTGCAACAAGCTCATCATAATTGTCATATTCATCATTGTTGTTATCATCTTTCTCATTGTCCTGGTTTCTCCTGATATTGTCAGGTACGTCTTGAAGGTCTTCTAATAGAAAACAAGAAAGAAAATGTTCATTATTTTTGTCTCCCGATTGTCTTTCAGATTCTTTTTCTCAATGGTGATGATATTTCTTTCTCCAAGTTCTCCCTTTTTTCTCTTACAAACAGTAAAAACTTGCAGTACGATTCCATAGACATTGGCAGCTCTTCCGTCCCTCACACAAATTGCCGTTCTCCTAGTGTGAGTTTAGACAATGAATACATTGGAAGCTATTTAACTTTATGTATGTGCACATGGGGTGCATCATTTGTTCTTGCCCTTAGCTGATATCTGTACATGCACATCTTCTAGGATTGAAATTATAATACAAAGATTAAGGATGTATATCCTGGCACAGAGAAACCAATGTCAGTTCTATTGTGTCCACTGGTATCCTGGCTAAGATCAACCAACACATCACAAACTAGGGACTGAATCTGGAATCTGTATAATCTATAACACTCAATACCACACTACACACCCAATCCTTCATGAAAAGAATCTCAATAGTTATGTTATAAATGCAAGCATATCACCAGCTCTTACTTCATATCTAACACCCTGAGAAGCTCAGTTGGTTGAGTTGCATACTTTAATCGAATACTTCTTTGTTTGTATCGTCATGCTCAATTCAACTCTTTCCCCCCTTTTGAGATCAATAAAATGAACCTTATCTCTTACAAAAAATCCTCCTTCAGTGGAATGTAAGCAGGTTCTCTTCAAAGTTGAACTGATTCCAAGAAGATAAAACTGACAGAGACAGGTACTGTGGGTTCAAAATAATCTAAGGCATCGTTGACCAGTTACCAGAAGTTCTCTCTTTTATGTTATAAACTCCTTCAGGAAAAAAATGATTATTCACAAAACATTGCTACGTAATTGAATTTTAATAGTAAGAACATTAATAATGCATGGTTCCCACATTCTGATCAGTACCCACTTGCCCATCATCCCTGTCCTCACCAGCCTCCACTGGCTTCCTGCAAATCGAATTCAAGGTCCTCACCCTCATCCACAAATCCATCTACCCTCTGGCAACCCCTTATCTAACCAATCTCTTCCTACGCAACTCTGCCATTCACCCACTCCGCTCAGTAATCTTGGGCTTCCAGCATGTCTCCTGCCCTCTCCGTACCTTCAGTTGCTATCCTCCAATCTCTGGAACTCCCTTCCTCTTACACTCCGTCTCACCCCTCTCTCCTACATCTTTGAATGTGCCTTCGGTCACCTCCCAGTGCCCCCTCCCTTTCTTGGTGACCAACCCCATCTCTGTAATGCACTCCTGGATATTACCCCACTGAAGGGTGCTATATAAATGCAAGTTGTTGTTGTTTAGTGGAGTGGTGGCTTTTTTTTAATTGAGTTACTGTCAGGAAAAATATTCAAAATATCTTTGCTTCGACCACAAATAATGTACTAAGCATTCAAGAGTCAAACAAATCAAATGCAAAGTCATGTGCTGAATGTTTCTAATTATTGTAAATTTGAATAATACACTTGCTTAACTCACATTCTAACCATCATAATTCCAATATTAACGTTCATGAACAAGTTCTGGTATAAACAGTAATTATTATTGTTTCTAAGTCATTATTCAGATTTAATTGGAGTTCACCTGGGTGACAAGTCTTGGAAATGACTAGCATTTGGTCTGTGATGGTACAGAGGTGTGTGGGATTTGCTAGTACGATTGTCAAGTTGGAATACTGGGGCAATTTCTTGTTAAATGTTCTGATGGATTTGTGCGATCAGTTGATCTGAATTAATTGTTGTATTTGAATGAAATAATATGGTTTATGTTGCAAGCAAACATCATAGGGTTATATTTAATATAATTTAAAATAAGAACAAGCTGCAATTGTTTCACTTAGCCCCATGAACAGATATATTTCCATCCCAAATGTTACTCCATGCCAACACTAATACGATGCTGGGTTTAAGAATCATAAATCAAAAGTGAAGATAGCCTCGTGGGTAAAATTTCTTTACACTGTTGTTAAAATGTCCAACATAATTTTTAGGTCATCCTTATGTAACATTTTGTACCTTGTTCATTACTTTGATCTTCTTCGTCCTCTTCGTCCTCCTCTTCTTCCTCTTCGAGCTCTTCTTCATCCTCCTCTTCTGCTTCCACATCCTCCTCCTCTTCCTCATCTTCCTCACGCTCGTCATTGTCATCAGAGTATTCCTCATCATTCTCATCCAACTCTTCAGTCCCATCGGTCTCACAGCACTCGTCTACAGAGGAATTGTCCGTTCTCACCAGGAACGGTTTTCTCTTGGGGGCCGGTTCACTTGGTTGCCTGTCTTGTATTTTTCGTTTTTTAGCCAATGGACAACCATAGACACTAAAACAGGGAAGGAGAAATATTCATGTGGTAGGAAGAATTATTGCAGAAAGAGAATATCATTTGGGATATCTCAAAGACATGATAAGGCGCTATATCAAATGCAAGGATTACTATTATATATTATAATTTAGAATGGAAAAATGTGGAGCTCTGATTTGTGGTATTTTTTAATTGTATTCCTTAACAGGGAATAACTTTAGAGTTCCCATCGACTCCTGGGACTATACTCAAGAGGTAGATCACATCAAAGTGGACTTTCCCTAGGTTGTTGTGATATACCTCCAATTACCAGAAGTAATGCACATTTGTGCCACTCAAATTCCTTATTGAGGTGTCTGGTTAAGAAATACCGCATATTGAATCACACAAATTTGGACTGGGATAGAGTATGCCCTGATCACAGTCAAAACTAACACAGAACAATCACTTTAGGTATTTATTATTTCTTGCTGGAATGTCACACAGTGACGTTTTGCAATTTAGCAATGCAAAGGTATTTTCATTCCCTTTGTACCAATACATTGAAATGTCTGCAAATGCAATTTTGGATGCCCAAAAGTTAAACTCCATTGCCAATATGTTACAAGGTTATGTGTTCGTACTATAATAAATGCTTTATGCAAAGAAGATTCAATTTCCAATTTGCTCCCACATGTTTTAATTTTCGACTTTATTTGTTTATGAAAACTTTCAAGTGAGGATTTTCAACAATTGTAGAATGAGATGTTGATGAACAGAAGATATAGGAAAAAAACATCCAGATGAAAGACGTACAAATTTAGTTGTTTGTATAAAACTGACTAAATGCTCCACACCACTTACTTTGGATACTAATTTAAAGATTTTTGGGGGTCACTCAAGTGTCTGACACATTGGGAAAACCACCACCATGCTTAAGAATATCTAAACCAAACCGAGAGTTTAGTCAGCTAGAATTGTATAACTTGTCACTGACAGCACTATCTCACTGCCTGTCCAGCTAGGACCTTCCTCACTCTTTTTTTCTGGGGGGTGGGTGTGGGGGGGAGGTGGGCAGCCGGGTGTCTGACACATGCGGAGACCCATCACCATGCTTAAGAGTATCCAAACTGAACTGAGAATTCCATGGATCCCATCCACCAATGGAAATTCCAGAGATATTTATTCGAATGGAATGCGCACTCGCTCCTTGGTTTCTATTAACAACTATTTTAAATCGGTGTCCTCAGGTTACCGACCCATCCACCAGTGGAAATAGTTTCTCCTTGTTCACCCTATCGAATCCCCTCATAATTTTGAAAACTTGTATTTAGTCTCCTTTTAATCTTCTCTGCTCCAAGGAGAATAATCCTAGCTTCTCTAGCCTCTCCTGATAACGGAAGTCCCTCATTCCTGGTACCATCCTGGTGAATCTCCTTTGCACCCTCTCCAATGCCTTGACATCCTTCCTAAAGTGTGGTGCCTAGAACTGAACACAGTCTCTCGCTGAGGTCCAACCAGTGTTTTATAAAGGTTCATCGTAACTTCCTGACTTTTGTATTCTAGGCCCTTATTTATAATGCCTAGTATCCTGTAAACTTTTTTTAAACAGCTTTATCTACCTGTCCTGCCACCTTCAAAGATTTACTTATATGAACCCCAGGTCTCTCTGCTCCTTCACCCCCTTTAAGATTGTACCATCAGCTTATATTGCCTCTCCTCATTCTTCCTCCCAAAATGAATCACTTTGCATTTATCCACATTAAACTTCATCTGCCACGTGTCTGCCCAATTTATCAGTCTGTCTATGTCTTCTTGCAGTCTGCTACTATCCTCCTCACTGTTTACTATATTTTTCTAAGTGAAAATCTATTTTGTCCCAAATTATAATCTCCAGAAATTTCCCCACTACTGACATTATGGTAACTGGCCTGTAGTTGATCCTTCTGCCCCTTTTTATACAGTGAAATAACATTTGCAACCCTCCAGTCCTCTGGCACCACCCCGGTGTCCAAGGAGGATTGAAGGATTGTGGTCACAGCCTCCATTATTTCCACTCTTACTTCCCTCAGTAACTTAGGATGGATTCCATCTGGGCCGGTTGATTTATCTACCTTGAGCACCGACAACCTTTTTAGTATCTCCTCTTGATTTATTCGTGTCTTATCCAATTTCTCTATCCTCTCCTCCGATACTGTGGCATTGGCTGCAACCTCTTCTTTTGTGAAGACAGATGCAAAGTACTTATTCAGTATGTCAGCCATGCCCTCTGCCTCCACAAGAAGATTTCCTCTTTGATCCCTAATTGGGCCCACCCTACCTTTGACTAACCTTTTATTCTTGATATGCTTATAAAATACCTTAGGGTTCCCTTTTACGTTCTCCGCTAATGGTTGAGGTCGGCTAACTCTGTATAAAATAAGAATTGAACCTGGAGCCATGCTAATCTGTGTAGCTCAGTACGACCTCAGGTAATAAGTTCACCCACTGAAAGAACCAGAGAGCCTCTGCATAGATTTTCTTCTTACAGGTATTATCCATGTGAGGTCCATAGATACTAGCTTTCATAAATAAAGCAATTTAAGCTCAAATAAAATTGTGGGGATAATATCTTTAATGCAGCAGAGGGTGACATATCAGATCTGAGGAAGCAAGGTGACTGTACTTGCACAAAGTGTCTGACTACTCATGTCAGGCACCCTGACATAATTGGAACTGCTTGCTTCACACCTCAATGACCCAGATGTTTGAATCCCACTGGTAGCTGACACTCATAGTCATTTAACCAGAAATAGCTATGATGTGTCCTAAAAGCTTTTAGTTCAATTTGGAGGGAGGAACAAGAGGAATTTCCTTGACACTTCTACCTTCAAGCAATAGTCCCCCATGTCAGCCAAACTACGGAGCAGATGTTGTGAAAGTCACAGCAATCTAATTTGCTGTTTGGGTTAACAACTCATGTACAAAATTTGTGGGTTATGCTAACCATGTGCAGACACGTGTGTATTGTAGGAATTACAAGTGTCCTTATTTATGTAAATAAATGTAATTTATTAAAAGGTTTACATGCAAGTCTATGATTCTTTTTTTTTAAATGCATTGCATTTGATACAGCACTTTTAATGTGGGGAAGATGTCTCAAAGTGCTTCACAAGATTTACTGTAAAGTGTAGTCATAATAATAAATATATAATAGTCATTATTATTATTAGTAGTGACTTCACAGGATTTACTCTCAAGATATTTATGAAATACGTATTTATTTATTATTTAGTATTGTTTATTCATCATAGAGTTGTGATGAAAATAATAATAAATATTTTTATTAGTGATTGTGTATTTTGTAGGCAACTTTACATCAATTGTTAGTTACAATTAATGGCATCTATTATCTGTCTGCACCTCATTAACTGATGTACATTTTAGACCCAATTTGGGATGTATATACCAATAGTGAATCCATTTTACAAACAAGCCTTTTTTTTATTACCTGTGTAACAGAAATTAGATAAACAGAATATTTTAGACGCCAGCGAATTATATCTAGGGCTAAATCAAATAATTTTTTTGCAATCAAATATTCTCTTGATTACAGAAATGTTAGCTCAAATATTTACACATAATAATCATGAAATAGTCCCACTAGGTTATTAAAAAAGTGGTTATGTTGCATAGTAATGTGCTAACATTATGCTGAGTGGCCCTGGTGTATTTGCATTATTTTTTAAGCTCAAGATGCTAACTGCTTAGCTAATGAACTTACTATAAAAATGGAACTGTATTAGTAATTTCTCTTATTGTTACAATGTCAGTTTTCTGAAGAACATGGTCTGACCCGATAATCATGTGCATACAACACTATGTCATATTAATTACAGTTGGCTTCATAACAGGGCTATTAGCTGTTGATTTTATGTCAATTAAAACTCTTGTTATATGTGTAATAGGACTTGTGGCTTTGAGGCTAAGGCATCATTTAATTTGTGTCCTTTAGCAGCTGTTAATGATAGATAACCTTCATCAATATATTCCTCAAATGGGTTTGAGCTTCAATGTCCAGCAGTGCATTGCTATATTGTTGTGCTCTATCTTGAACTGTCCATTTCAGTATTACTTCACAGGAATATTTTGAGAAATCTAGCTGAGGGCCATTGTACAAGACACTAAGGTAGAAAAAGATAGATGAAAAGTCAAGATAAATCAAGGAATAGTGGTTCTTGAATTCAAAGTTTTTATTTCAAGAGCCTTTTGATTGTGCAAAGGGAGAAAATTCTGAGAAAGGTAAATAAATTCCAGAATTTTAAGCTAATGGGAAAGAAGGAGTTGAGTAGGAGATTTGATATGAACAGAGTAAGGATGCTGGGAAGAGAATGAAAGAGAAAACATAATAATGTTTGCATTTGATTTAGCACCTTTCATGTCGTTGAGACATCTCAAAGCCCTTCACAGGATATACTGTATAGTGGATTGACTGTGTATTTTGTGGCTAAATATTTGGAGCTTGGGAGAAACAATAGTGGAAGACTCAAAAAAGTAATACCAGAGAAACATCAATAAATAACAGAAAGACATAAAAAGTTGCAACAGAACAATAGATTTAGAGAAGTTGAGAGAAGAATCAACTAATCAATCTATTTTATCCATATACCCATCAGCCCAGTCCTCGCCAGACTCCAGTGGCTCCCTGTCTCTCAGCAGATCGATTTCAAGCACCTCCCTATCACTTCATCACTTTAACCTCCTCCTATCCCACTCCTCTGCTCATCCTTTTCTGCTCAGCAAACTTGGGCTTGCTTGAGTGCCCCGCCCAACTCATGCCACCATCAGTGACCCAGCTTTCCAATTCTATGGCCCTAGCCTCTGGAACTCCCTCCCTCAACCTCTCCATTTTGCCCCCCATATTTCTATCTTCAAATCCCAACTTAAAATGCACCTCCCCTCGGCGCCCGTGTTCGGTGTCTGTCCCCATCACTGTGAAGTGCTACAAGACTTCATTTTACGTGAATGGCGCTATATAAGTGCAAGTTGCATTTTGTATA